AATGCTATTATAACCAAGTGTGTTCAGCCAATGCAGCAGTGTTTGACTGGTTGCTGCAGATTCCCTTACTATAAATACAGAAGAGAAGGAATAATTGGTTTTAAATGAATTGCATATATATGGAAAATACATATGAAGGAATTTTGAATACTCATTTTGAGCAAATGTTAATTTTAAACAAATGCTTTTGCTTTTGTCCCATACTTTAACACTTTCCTTAAGTTTGGTTCCCAAGGTTCCATTTTTATGCTTTTTTTCTCATGCATTATGTTTTTCTTCCAGTTGAACACATACACATACATATATCACCCTGGATACTTATTTTTCGATTTCATAATATATCATGGTCATTATTTCATGTAAAAAATATAGGCAAGTATCACTAAACTTCTGAACTGTAGACTTTGATTTTATTCCACAATAAAAATGTCTACTTATTTATTAAACTAGTGTGTCATATTGACTGATTCACTGATTGTTTATCTTAAGCAGTCTCATGGGAATGACTGTAGCTGTAGTTGGATATAGTGCCAAATAGCCTACTAAATCTGATCATCCGATTGTAAAATCATCTTATACCTACCTCTGTCAAGCTCAAATACTCAATATCTAAAGGCAGCAACTAACTACCTACATTTTTACTATGAGTTTGCTTTTGCAAAGTATATAATGAAATAATAGCTTTCAAACTGACCAATGCAGTGCACATTTTTGAAGTGGTACTGAAGATGAATTTGGTTATCGTGTTTAAAGATTTCTAAATCAAACCTTTTCAGCTTGGATCTTTGGTTTGAAATTTATGATTATTTTCATCGTTGTAAAAGCACATTTTTCTTTGATCACCTCTCATTGACGAAAAATGATGTAAAACAAAAAATGAAAGTTAAAGAATTTTATTATTGTTAGATATTTTTGTCTTCTTGATGTTTTCTCTAAAACCAATAGTGAAGCTTCTGTAATCTAATTATTTAAAGAAGATGGAAAAATGCCTGAACATCAGAAGACAGCACAGATATAATATCAAACAAACAACCAATCTAACCAAACAAAATTCTTAAAGACTTAAAGCCAAAACTGTGATCTTTTGTCACAATCACAATGAGGTCAGTGACTCTCAGACCTGGAGGATTTCAATTCCCAGGGAAAAAATTACCACGTTTGGAGACATTTATTGTTCCCTTTAGGAGTTGCTACTGGTGTTTTGTGAGTCGAGATCAGAGCTACTTCTGCTAAATGCCTTATAATGTGCAATACAGACTCTTACAACAAAGACCTTCCCAGCTCCAGATGCCAGCAGCATCATGGCTGGGAACCCTGTGGCTCAGCCATGCCAACTGATTAGGGAATGGATGTCTCTGCTTGGATGGTAGCTTGGAAGCCATCTGTCACTATTTAAACTAAGCCAGAAGTCCCTCTTATGTTTAAGACAGCAATCCTGTCCATTCCTGAGTTTCTCTGGATGACACTAAGTAGGTGGCTTGGTGCAGCAAATCCATGCTGGACAAATTATGTTGGAAAGAAACAGTCTGCTTACTGTGGAGTTTCAGGTCGTATATAACATTGAGTTACTACTTAGTATCAAAGAGTCAGTTATACTTTGGCTTGATGTCAACATACCATATTGCCAGAGATCCGACAATCGCCTTAATCTTGAGAAAAATTCTCTTAAAACTTTTATCCTATTTCTTCCTTCTGGGATGTTCTGGAAAAGAAAGGTGTCTGATTTTAGTAGTGATGGAGACATGCGTAGAGAATGATTACACTGTGTGCGTCCGTTGGCTGACGTCATTGATTGCTTCATTAGTAAATTTCTGTTTAGGTAGTGGCCTGTTCTTTTCTCATTAGAATGACTTTCACCCAAGTTGCTTTCTCATTTGACTGGTGGGTGACGTTCAGTGCTTAAAAAGACTGTCTGAAGAGAGCTTTGGTGATCTTTACATCTATATAACATGAATAAGTGGCCTTACTTAGTTGTTCTGAGAGGAGGAAGTCATATTAAACACATATGAGGGCTTCTATGAACCACAGATGCTATAAAGTTCTGCTCTTCTCTGCTATTACTTAGCATTAAGAAGATACTTAATACTTACATTATGTTTATTTTTTTTTACAGGTTCCTATTTCTTATTTTATATTGCAGTTTGCTTGGGTTATAGTTACAGATGTTCAGCCACTTGGTCAAATAACATTCTGGGTGTTTCCTTGAGAGTAATTGAAACAAAAATGAGATTGACATGCAAAATTGAGAACTAATTAAGAAATATTGCCCTTTGTGGGTGGCTTATAATGATTATTAATGTGATTATTAATTTGGCTGGGCTTTGCCTAATCAGCTGATGATTTGGATAGAACAAAAAGGTTGAGATTGACTCCCCAGATAAGAAGACTCCTCCTGCCTGGTGACCTGTGTACTGGGATATCAACTTCCTCCTACCTTTGGATCCAGATAAAAGCACTTGCTTTGTATCCTTGAGCAGGCCTTCCTTCAGAGTAAGGCTGTACCATTGGCTCTCCTGCATTTCTACCCTGCCAACTTGCCCTGCAGCTCTTGGGGCATATCATCTCTCAGAATCTCATGAGCCAACTCCTTCTTTTCCTATAGATAGATAGGCACAGACCATTTTGAGTCTATTTGGAGAATTCAGACTAGTATATTATTTATCTAAATATTAATAATACCAATACTACTACTACTGATAATCATGCTAATGAAACATCACAGAAATTTGTTAATAATTATAGTGGATATTTGTTATCATTTCTGCTTAGCGTCTTTCTCCTTTTGTTTTGGAATTCCTCTTCCCAAGAGGAATCCTTTTGCTGTAACTCTTGTGAAATAAACTCAATTCCCAACTGGAGGTCCAAGAGTGGACATGATTTCTCTACCCATAGTGATCAGTTCAGTAATAGGCACACAATCCAAACAAAACTAATCAGAATCTTACTTTGGGCTTTCCTCCAGGATATTTTGGGAAAGGACTCTCTTTCCTCTTGGGTAGGATAAAAGCCAGTCTGAGAATGAATCCAGGAAGTGATGAACAGAGCCAAAAGATGGTGAGACAGAAACTTGACTTTAAGCTCCTGGAAGCCGCTGTGCCCAGAGGCAGAGTTACTTCTTAATGTTCCAATTCTCTTTTGTACGTCAGCCACTTTTAATTGAGTTTTGGACACTGAAAATGAATTAGCATAGCTTGCTATATTTGGGCACTCAAGTAATTTAAGTAAGCACACTCACGTGAATCTCACCAAAGTTAGGTAAGTAAACAGTACTTTGCATTATATAGACAACGGTAATTAAGAAGAATGTCATGTTCAAAGTCATGGTTGATGAGCAGCAAAGAACAGGATTGAACACAGATAGGATGGTTAGACTCTTTCCTGAGACCCACTCACTTTATTTAGGTGTTTAATTGATTCAGTGGAGAGCATGAATAATACCAGTCAGATCTAGAAGTATCCTAAGAAATATTATCTCCACCCCCCCCCCCCCGTTTTAGAAATTGGGAAAGACTTAAAAACAAAGTCATTTGCCTAAAATATCATAGTAATTAGTCTAGTACTATATGATGGTGCACTCATTTTTAATTTTAAAAGATGCGTGATTTATTCCAAAGGGTGAAAAACTTCTTTTTAGCTATAGTTTCAAAGGTTTTAGTATATAATAGCTTGTATGCATTGCTTCGGGCCTGAAGTGAGACAGAATATCATAATGTTAAGAGGGTGTGGAGAGGCTACTCACCCCCTGACGGCTAGGAAGCATAGAGGAAGAAGACATGGACAAGATATTCTTCAACTGTTGTGTGTCCAGTGATCTGTTACCTCCAATGATGCCCCATCCTCCACCATCACCCAACAATCCCATGAAAATGTGAACCCATCAATAGATTAGTCCATTATTTAGGCTTCAGGATCCAATCACCTCTCCACTGTTGGCTATTCCAGCTGGAGACAAAGCCTCCAACCTGGAAGCCTTTGGGATGGGGCCTCCTTTATATACAAACCTTAAAAATGGTACATCCTTATTTTGTTTATAAATGGGGAATTAGGGATTAAAAGTCCACATTTTATTATCAAACTGCTAAAAATAATTTTGACCATTGAATTTTCTGAGTCTCAGAACCTTTCAAAGTAGTCAGTTGGTTTTCATGAACTGATATGTCCTTCTCTGTAGCCCAGCGGCCATTCATAGACCTAGAGTCTAAGGTAAAGGGTGAGCATTGTGGGCAGCTGCCTTCCGCTGACATGATGAGCAAGGCTGTACTCATTAGTCAGTGCTCCAGTTACCATGACCCTACAGTGTGAGTCAATTAGGGTAAATCTGGGCGGAGACTGTACAGGTTTTATTTAACTGTCTTCTCATAGTCCTCATTATATTTTCATGGTATTCTTAAATATAACAAAAATGCACTCTTATCAGTACTTGTATGTCAGCTTGGAAAGAATAAACATCTTACAAGTAAGTTGAGATCAGACTATTTTGTATATGCTCCTATGAGAAAGTCTGATAAATACACAAAGACTCCAAAAGCATTGAAGACAGTGGTTCTGAACCTTCCTGGTGCTGTAGCCCTTTAATACAGTCCCTCATGTTGTGGTGACCCCCAACCATAAAATTAATTCCATTGCTCCTTGTAATTGTGCTACTGTCGTGAATCAGAATGTAAATATCTGATATTCAGGACGCATTTTCCCTGTTACAAATTGACCCAAAGGGGGAGAAGCACTGATTTAGGAGAACCTAGCAATAATCACTTCATGATATAGTTTCATGGGATGACTTGATATATACCTCAGCAGTTTTTGGGGTGCCGTCTCTTGGATACATGATGTGACGTCCCCATTTTGTGATTGCTAAAATGGAAAGTTAGCAGCTTCAACTTTGTATTCCTAAAATGAGAAGAAATGTGTTAGTGTCATCACCCTGAGATAGAAATACTGAGAATGTTATGTTTCCTTTGTAATGGCACAGTAATAAGTAGAAGACTGTGTTTTATTTATAGATGGAAAATTCCCAAATAACCATTTTGAGCATCCATTCTCTATATCGATGGCACAAGTCACCTGGTTTCTTCAGACTGCTCTTCACTCATTGGAAAGCCTATAAAACCTGCACATTTTCCGCAAGTACCACCCAGGTAAGGCTTATAAGTTTTGTTCTATAGCCCCTGTGGCTACTGGTGCAAATGGATACCAATGTACAGATTTTGGTTGGTTGGTGTTTGGTATGTTTTGTTTGTATTTAGTAATTTGGGTCATAGAAGGGAGGTGGGCGGCAATGAGTAGTCTTTTCCTGACATCATAAAGTGATCAAAATCTGAGATTGGCTTCTGCCTGGTGTTCGTAGGAACAGTATGAAAACTGCATCAAAGACAGAGGTGTTAGAGAAAATGGCCCTAAAGAAGAAGTTTGCATTAACATAACTTTTGTGAGTTACTTCACCAAGTACAGATTCATGGAGGGTCACTTTCTCTCTATTTCTGCTGGCATGGAGAGTTCTCCAATAAATGATCTAATTGGATACCTTGTCAAATAATCGTTTTTAAGTATCTTGTGGATTGAAAATCCTAACCTCAAAACTTTAAACTGAGCTAGGAAAAAGTTTAGTCTTCCTACAGAGTGTGGTGCATCTATACTAAGGGAAAGGATTTTTTTTTTTTGAAGGGGCATCCTCTTTGCTTGCTGTATCCATCTTTTCCATCAAGTTTAGCAGATTTATGTCTTTACAGATTTTCCTAAGGATTTTCTCCTCACCTAGGTCAAATGTATGAACATTTTTAGATATTCATCAAAAATCCCACAGCTCTGTCCCTTTGAGAAGGAGAAAAAGCAAGAAGAGAGGATGGTGGGCAGTGATGGAAGAGGAGGGAGAACATGAAGAGGAGGGGAGGAGAAGGTGGGGGGGGAAGGCAACTGGGAAATCCCTTCTAGTTGCTTTTGGTAGTGATATGCCTAAGAGTTGCTAGTGTAACTATTAGCTGCCATGGGGTGTAACATGAATCTTAAAAGGTCTTATTAATAAAATCAAACCTGAAGCCAGGTATTGGGGTGAATGCTGGAAGATCAGAGAAGCAGAACAAGCTACAGCCACCTCACCTTGCCAATTTCTCAGCTGTTTCCTTAGACTGGAAGCCTCTGAGTCCTCATCCAGAATGAATCTCAGCTGAGCTGCTGCAAAAAGCCTAAAAGCTTAACCCACTCTAGTTCCTTATATACCTTTCTGCTTCCTGCCATCACTTCCTGAGATAAAAGGCATGAGTCACCATGCCTGGATGCTTCCAGTGTGGCTTTGAACTTACAGAGATCTGGATGGATCTCTGCCTTCAGAATGCTAGGATTAAAGGTGTGTGTGTGCCACCATTTTCTGGCCTCTGTATCTAGTGGCTGTTCTATTCTCTGACCCCAGATAAGTTTATTAGGGTGCACAATATTTTGGGGAATACAATATCACCACAATGGGGAGGCAGGGTGATTACTCTCGAATTCTCACAGTTATCTACATCCAAATCTCTAGAGTGTGTGGTGATGGAGAGATTTTCCTAGATTTTTCTGGCAAATACAATGCAATCAGAAGGATGTATTCCAGAAAAGAAGGTAGGCAGGGAAGGGGGAGATATGACAAGGAAAGTGGAAGTCATAGTGATGAGATTGTATTAAGGGGGGCATAAGGCAAAGAATTCAGACAGCCTTGGGAGGTTGGAAAAGACAAGGAACCAGATTCTTTCCTAGAGTTCCTGAAAGGAATATGGTTCTTCTGACCCTGGGAGTTTAGCCCACAGACATTGCATTTGAGATTTTTGATCCTAAGTTTGTGGCTATTCGGTATAGTAGCAACAAGAAAGTTATACAGCAGTGAATGCCTTCCACCATTCTTCTGCTTGATAACCCAAACCTTTCGCTTGAGACTCAGGAGTTCTGGACCACTTGAAAGGTTTTTCCAATTTCCAGCACAGACATCAGAGTGGTAGGTGATGTGAAGTGTAGTTGAATGTTAGTAAAATGGTTATGGAAGCCTGATTTGTTTCTTTAGTAATATAATTTCTTTTTCTTTGTGATCAGAGAAACCAGCATCACGGTGAGTGGAGGAGAGTACTTCCTCAATATTTGGTAGACCAGCACTCAGCTATCTTTGGCAAGAGAGGCACGATTATCAGTGTTTTGCTCACCACCCAAAGTCAACTGGGTTGAGTTGGTAGGAGTCTCATTGGATGCTGAGCACAAAGTGGTTGGAGGCTGCCAGCTCTACCTGCAACAAAACAGACCAGGAGAGCAGCCCCCTGCTGCCTTCGCTGCTGTTTGTCTCCTGGCCCCCTAGTGTAGTTGGGTTTTTCTTTGGGCTGCCAGCTGCCAGCTCACAAATAATGACACAGAGACTCATTATTAGTTATGAAGGCTTGGCTTTAGCTTAGACTTGTTACACTAGCTCTTATAACTTAAATTAACCTGCTTCTATTAATCTACATTTTACCATGTGGCTTTTTACCTTTCTTTTTTTTTTTTTGGTTTTTCGAGACAGGGTTTCTCTGTGTAGCTCTGCGCCTCTCTTGGAACTCACTCTGTAGCCCAGGCTGGCCTCAAACTCAGAGATCCACCTGCCTCTGCTTCCTGAGGGCTGGGATTAAAGGCGTGCGCCACCACCGCCTGGCTTTACCTTTCTTTTATTCTGTATGTTTGACTTCCTTCGTGTGTTGTTGGTGACTCACTGGTGTAATTCACGCACCTAGATTCTTCCTCCTCCTCCTCTCTCTTCCTGGAAATCACACCGATCTCTCCTGTCTAGCTATTGGCCATTCAGCCCTTTATTAAGCCAATCATCGTGATACTTCTTCACACAGTGTAAACGAATTTTCCACCACCCCCTGGTGATGATTGTCTGCGCAGATGAGCAAACTTGGATTTGCTGGGTCTTGGTGGTACTTTCAATAGCTTGTGTCTCTGCACAGGTGATACAATGTCACACTTAGATGCCGAGATACTTGTATGTGTGTGCTCAACAGTCATTGTGAAGACACAGCGTTTAACAACTTAAACAGATCCTCCAGAATATTCTACAGCCCAGGCGGCATTCAGACTCAGCCTTACACTGTGCTGTTAGCTCTTTTCTAAAAACACTTATTTCCCTGTGCTGAACATACAGCAAAAAATAAGACTGTCCCATCATACTGATGAATTTTTGCCTTGAGGTTCATGTCACATCCATCCTCATAAACTTCTTTAACCTCAAGTATTGAGTTCTAACTCACAGAATGGGATCTGCGTTCCTTCCTTCCCAGAAAACCTTGGATTTCTTATGATGTCCACGTAGAATAGATCTGCTCTCCTCCCAGGAATTGTCTGATGTCTTTATTGAGGGAACTTCTAGGGAAATAGGTGCTTTCACTGCCTACTCTTACCTCCAGGAGCCTCCTCCATTCATTTTGGTCAGGACCAAGGTGACTCTGACTTCCTTTATGCTGTTGGATGCATCATCTTCCTGAAACACTTAATCACTCATTAATCACTGCATTTCATCCCGGCCTTAACAGGAACCTCTTCTGTTTATTATGTTCGATTCTGACTCAAAGAAATGTCTTTCCATTTATTCTCAGTTTGCTTTTAAAGCTCTCCAGACAAGAGAGTGAATAGGCAATGTGTTCTCACCTACCCACTGTGTAAATCTACTCTTATGAAATACAGTATTTATCTTTTTCCAACATATGCTAGGAGATTTGATTCTTCATCATCATGCTTAGTTCTTTTTGGACAAATACCACTGTGTCAATCTAATGCACACAAGGTTAAATGAAACAATTTTCTCTCTTCTCATCAATTTCACATTGTTTTTCTTTATGTAGCTCTGGGCTGAGTCCTTTCTTCTAGCAGCAACTTCTCATTGCTAACTTCCTGAACTCACAGCCAAGAAAAAAAATTCTTCTGTGGTAATGTGCTGCTGTGTGGACTGTGTCTGAGAAAGCCTTTTGTTTCTATTACCCTTCTTCTCATTATATCAAATGTAGATTCTAGTCTTTTAATACCACATTACTTTTGCATTATTTTCAGACTTGATTATAATGCTTTTTCTATTACTATTCAAAAGTTTTTAGAGTTGAAGAGGCCAAAGATGCTTCATATCTCATTACATCTGTTATGCTTATTTCAGTTAGCATTCTTTGTGAACAGTGCACAGAAATACTCTTTGTTCATAAGGAATATTGATTTAAAAGTCAGAAAAAATCCATGTTAAAATCTCTACTCTTAGTAGTTGTATGAATGAATAAATTTCTTAGTCAAGTGTTTCTCTTCTGTGCCATGGGGATTAGATTACTGTTCATACTATGTTGGGCATGTCTGCATGGATGTATGTATGCATGTACATGTGTTTTTGCACCATATGTATATCTGTGATGTGTTCATGTATGTGCCTCTGTGTATTATGTATATGGGTCTATATAGGTCATGTGTTTGTGCATTTAATTGTGCTTTAGTGTATATTAGATATACATTTGTGTGTATGTGCATATAGACATATGCATATATGTGTGCAATCAGTTATTCTTTCATTTTTCCATATAGTTGTGCCTATATTCTGGAACATTTGATTGACAATGCACACTGTCATTATTACTGTAATAAATAACATCAACCCATTATGGGCACAGTCATTGTATATGCTACTATATTTATCAGAGATTGTCTTGAACGGCACCTGGCATAATGAATGTTCTCCTCAGCCTCTCCAGTAAATGTTGGTAAAATAGAAAATGATATAATCCTAGCATGAGTTGAACTTTCTAAATCTACCTTGGTCCCCAGTGATCACGCCTTTGCTTCCTGACTGTTGACTAACCTTTTATAACTCAAAAGTTTTGCTAGGGATCCATCCAATCTCTTTGGCATACAGTTTAAAGAAGTGAACTGCTTTCACCTTTTTGAAAATGGAAACATTTATTTGCCCTTTACTCACCTGCCAGCAAGACATCTGTTCTCTACAGTTCTTCAAAGATGACTATTTATGGTCCACTGATGTCATCTGAGCCTTCATTTGCTCTTGTGGAGCGGAGACTTCTTTGGTCTTCAAAGCTCTTTGAAATGCACTTAAAAAAAAAAAACTTCTTTACCTGGCTTAGACTTTAATTTCTTGATATTTGTGTTCTCCTTTCTCATCTGACAATTAACTTTCTTAACCTGTATAGTAGTCAATATTCTCTTGATTAAAAATTCAAGAAGTCCAAATTTGAATTCTTGACATAAGAAAATGAATCCCTTGATTCATGTAGCGAGGATTCAGAGCTTAATTCATTTGAATCATGACTGAATTCAGAGATGCAAACGGTGTGAGCAGAACCCCAGTTTCCTTGCCTCACTTGAACCCTGATTCTTCCTATGTTAGAGTGTTTCTTTATGGTGGAGAAGATAGTGTCTGCATTTTAGTCAACTCAGAAATTAAGTCACTCTCTTTCTCTATCACTATCCATGTACCAAAAAGTCAAGTTGTGCATCTATTGGGCTCTGCTCCATGGCCACAGGCAGGGATGGCTGGGCACTGTGGCTAATTACAACCTCAGGAGAATTGGGAGGGTTTGGGGTGGATTATGAAATACTTGTGTGCTAGGACAGGGGAAAGGTTTGTTTCCTGCCTGCCTTCTGCAAACTTTACTGTCCTCAAATCATTTCATTCTGTTGCTACTTATACACCTTCAGATACCAATATTTCACCTTCGATGGCAATTATCATAAGTTATAATGTTTCATTAGTATTATTTTAATTGGTTATGATTGGATTTTGGTATTTTTTCTTGATAAATGATGTCTTTACATTATTTGTCTTTGTTTAAGAGCTGGATGAATACCGATGTGATTTCTTAGCTACCTGTCTATCACCTTCCACGGTTAACCTCTTGGGTCTGTGTTGCTAAAAGCCTAGAGCTATGTACTTCTGCAGTGGTTAAACAAGTGGCTTTTCTTGTTTTCTTTGTGAACCACTAGAGTGGGCATTAAGACTTAAGGACACATCTATCTTTGTTTGGGTACAGAATTTTGCCTATCAAAGACTGTAGGGGGGCTATGACTGCTCTTCTGTGCCCAAAGGACCCTGTCATTTCCACCTTGTCAACCAGTACTAATCGCTGGTCAAAACTAAGTTCTGGGAAGTAAGTCCCAAGATTACTTTTCTGTTTCCTGTAATATGAAGTTGCTAACGAAATGTTTCTGAGGCTTTGGCTTTCGCTGCTCATGACTTCATGGAGCTATCTAGGCAAACCCTCATCACATACCAATATTTCTTCTGTTATCTGTGCCAGGTTTGTGAATGATGATACAATGAGATTGTTCATTCTTTTCTTTTTTTTTTTTTTTTTTTTTTTTTTTTTTTTTTTGGTTTTTCGAGACAGGGTTTCTCTGTGTAGCTTTGCGCCTTTCCTGGAACTCACTTGGTAGTCCAGGCTGGCCTCGAACTCACAGAGATTCGCCTGGCTCTGCCTCCCGAGTGCTGGGATTAAAGGCGTGCGCCACCACCGCCCGGCTGTTCATTCTTTTCTTTGGCCTGGAATATATGTTTTATCAACCGATCCCTCTTCAGACTTCCAGCACCAATATTAATTTGATTCTCTTTTCTTTATCTCTTCCCAGATATTTTTATGATTCTGCCCTCCTTGACTTTGGGATTTCTGCAAAATGATATATCTTTTTATATATCAAATAATATTCCTTTTGTACAATATGGTACATTCAAAAGGAAAGACCTTTTATGAATCTTATTTTGACAAGGTAAAAATGTCTATGAGGGGTGTTGATTTTGTGTGCCATCAAATTATGCTTGGTATATTCAAGCATCTAAGAACCTAAGTGATATATCCTACTGTTTTCTAAATTATTGTGTGTTGTGAGTTAGTAGTAGATATATCCTGCATTGAGTTCATGCTTACCTATGCATTTCTGTCTCTTATTTTCTCCATTCAACTTGAAATCCCTTGAAAGAGACTGAGAAATCTTCAATGAACATATTCTTCTCTTTCTTACAGTAGATCAAATCTCACTTCAATGATTGCAAAGTCAATTTTTTTCCTCATTGTATTGGGAATATGTGCTATCAAATAATGTTTAAAATAAGTAGGCCCATAGGTTGGATTGGCAAAACTCCTTTTCAATTGTAATGTCTCTTGTAAGGGAAACCTGGTTTTACTTGTGATGGGTCTTCGGCTTAGCTGAGTATATCACATGGTCAAAGCTATTCACAGCTACAGAACATGCTCTGTGTGGAGCTTTTAAAGCCTTCCTGATCTATGAGGGCTGAAGCAGTAGAACTGGAGTTAGCTGTAGCTGGTAGAGAACTGCTGCCATAGTTCTACTCAACATGAGTTTTGAATCAGGATATAGGGCCAACTGTTTTTCTGGTTCTAATTCTGTCATGAGTTTTTTGGCCTTTGGCAGTGGATAGGTACATAAAACATATTTGATACTGAAAGTATAAAATTTAATATGAGGCTCCACAATGCCTGTTCTAACTTTATAGATGTTTGTTAAGTTGTATGGACTTTAGGTCCAGTTAATTTTCATGGGTAATGTTTTATAATAATATTTATAAAATTAAAAATATTGAAACATTGTTGATATGTCAGATTTGGGTTCACGCAGAACTCTTAATGCATGTTAATCCCATGCAGGACTTCAGAAAAAGCAAACTTTTCTGCCAAAAGTTTTTTTCTTGGTATTTGAAACACCATGAATGCATAATATTTATGGATATTGTTAACCAGGACAATTGCTATTACTTAATTTTAACACAGAATGACATAATTAAAATGAGAGTTTACTTATTTTTAGGACTTCTTGAAGAACGAAATTTAAAATATTTTTAAGTGGAAGCACTATCCTTGAAGAATACATAAACAATAATGACATAGCCAAGCCTCAGGAACACAGTGAAAGACAACGTCATCTGCTATGTTTTATTGCTGACTGGGGAGCCAAAACCAACCATACGTAATGGAATTTCATTGTACGGCAATGGAATTTCCTTCAGAGTTTATTAAAAGCTTTAACGTAGTTTGAACTCAGTAAAGTAAATGACCTGTCCAACGTCTGAGTCAGCATTTTAAGTAAGTATGCTAATTTCTGAGCTCAACAAAGAGAAAATGTTACTCTGAGTGCATTTCCAATTGAAAATATTGTTTTCATTCCATTTCTTTTGAATTGCATGATGGAACTGGAATGTTTTGATTGGTTATATTTATGTTTTTTTTCAACAATCTTGGAGCAGTTGGCTTACTTGTTGACTGAGCAGAGTAAGAAGAGTGGTCCATGAGTTAATCAATGGCCTGTCCAATGTTGGTACAAAGCAAAAATTATAACAGTGATGATTTGGTATTTGTGTCGTGTTTTATATTTCAAATGGATAAAAAACAGACTCCCTAGTTTCTTTCATACAGAGGTTTGATATATCTATGTATATGAATAGGAATAGAGCATGAAAAAATAAATAGGAAAATCCATTTGCAAAGTTCCCTCATCTTCATCTCTCCCCATTTAGAAGTCCTTTATGAACAACACACTATTTATTGAACCTGAAGGACTGGCATGCTTGGATGCTTTTAAGAAATGCCAAGTTTGGAGGCAGAGGCTGCTTCAAAGTTGATGACCATGAAGCTGCATTTTTTCCATGATTCCCAGTTAGATGCTGTGTACACTGAAGTTTGAAAAGTATTATTGAATAGACTCTTTGTCCCTAATGAATTGATGCTGAAATCCATTGTTTTCTTAAGTCATTCAAATGACTGCTTCCTTCTGTTAATTGTTGGGATACATGCTAGTACAAAGTGCTTAGTATTCAGAGAAGTAAAAACCATTACAGAAATGCAAGTGAGTTATTTTTTTTTTGTTTAAGCTTTTCAGTAATTAAAGGTATAGGTGAAGTAGGAAGCATCTCTTTGAATACAAATATTCAAGTTATCCAATTATAAAATGTGATTAATAGCCTAATTTTAACCTTGCATATCTTTGGACTTTTCCATTATAATGGTTCTCTGGAATGCTAACTTGAAGATAAAGGAAATAAGCAGAGAGAACATATTTCTCATTAAATAACATTATTTGACCACTGCTCACATATAGTGATCAACTTCTGAACCATTTTCTCTTTTTTTTGCATTTGTGACATTTGGAAACAATGCTTTCTCCTACTCACTCGATTTCCAGCAGGTAGCCTAAGAGGATTTGCAGCCCTGCTTGGTTTGTGATTCTCATACGATTGACTTTACTCTGCAGAGAGATGAAATACAGCTTCAATTGCAATGGATGTTAAAGTTAAAACCCTTCTTATGTCATTTAGAGATTGTTTTTAGATTAAGGATCATTTGACCTTGAGGTACAGTGGTTGCTTTATTATCTGATCATGGTGCTCCCAATAAGAGCTTGCTGAATGCTTTCAGCACATTACCTGCCTATGTCACTCTAAAGCTTCTTGCCTCCGAAGATCTCACAGCGGGGTTAGAGCCAGGTAAAGGGCTTAAATCAGCAAGCTATATTTATCAGCAATAAACAGCAGTCCCTGGAAATGTTCTATCCAGCAAATTCATCTATAAAGCAATGGCTCAAAGTGCATGAAAATGGAACTGATTTTACGTTTTAAAGATAATTTGCCAATATTATTATGAGAAACTAATAGCTTTCTGCTAGAAAAAAAACATTTCTATAGTTTGAAGTGCACATATATAGATTGGGAAAGATGAACATATACTAATACTAAAATAATGTACTTAGACCCAAACTCCACAAATCACAGAAGGAAAAGGATTCTTGTGGCAACTTGAACATGGTTACTTAGATGAGGTTATATATGGTTTGAAACAAAAATAAGAAAGATTGTTTAATAAGAGTTATTCAAGCTCAAGCTACACCATGAAGGGCACCAAGACTGATGGTCCATTTATGATATGGAGAAGCAGCTGGATGAACTCAAACCTGAAGGTGATTCTTCACAGCTAAAGGAAGGACATTACACATTAGGAGTTGATCCTAAAATGTGGCTGTTGAAAAACCAGGGCTTTAGAGATGGGATGAAGTAAGTTACAGAGTACCTCCCTAGCATGTACAGGGCCCTGGATTAGAGCCAGCAGCCAGAATCTAAAACAAATTAAGAAGTCATATTAAAACACGGCATCTCTTCTTGGTGTAAGGACTCTCCACATTCCATTGCTGCTGCCTGTCCTGTCAGAGCTCTGTGGGTGTCATAGGTGATGATTCTGTATTTGTTAACAAAATTGAATTTTAAATAATATCCTAACAAAGGATGACTGTAGCATGACCTTGGCTATGGGCATCATACTAGAGATAAAATGCCTCTGAGTTCTGTGAAACATTTACATAAGGCAGTATGAGAGCTTTGCTTATGGCAGTGTGGTCACTGATGACACATCTCTGTCTCTTTCCTTCTACACAACTGAGAAAACGTCACAGCTCTGGTTAAAAAAAAAAAAAGAATGTAAGGCAAACATAGATCAAAGAAACTGCTCGATGATGTTTTTTTCTTGTGCACTTATGTGCAATAGCATCTCATCCTAGAGAGCAGTTGTCTGTCTTACAGAAATAGAAAATGATATCATATATTTTTTGATCACCATTCAAGGACAGTATTTTTAGATATTTTCCATACCGCCATAGGACGTTTATCTCAACAACAGTGTATGGTAATGGACTTAGACAATAGTGTTCAAATGATTGTAATAGAGTTATACCAGACTCATCCGGGCTATGAAAGTAAAGATGTAAAAATAGACTGGTCATAATGTGTGACTCAGCCTCATGAGGGCATGTGCTTCCCAGAGCAGTAATGGGTCTGGCCAGATCAGTCTCTACCTCTTGCCCGGCAGTGGTTCCTGGCTGTGTGCATGCTCATTGGCTGATTTGTAACAGACGTATTTGATTTGCAAGCTCTACTAAGGAAGACAAAAAAATTATAAGGCCTGTTTCTATAGGTATGGATGACTGATATTTTAATACAAGAACACCCCTGCCCCGTGTGTGTGTGTGTGTGTGTGTGTGTGTGTGTGTGTGTGTGTGTGTGTGTGTGTGTGTGAGTATTGAGGGTATGAGAATGTGAAGGTCAGAGGACAATCTCCAGTGTTGGTTGTAAGGTGCCTTTCACCTTACATTTGAGAGAGGGTCTCTCACTGGCCAAGAGCTTTGCCACATAGGCCAGGATAGCTGGCCTACAAAGGTCCATGGATCCTCCTGTCTCTCCTTCCAACTTGCCATTGCTGAGATCACAAGTGCATTGTGCTGCACTTACCCAGGTTCTTAACTAAATTCTAGGGATTTAATCTCAGGTCCTCAAGCCCCAGTGGAAGAGAATCTTAACGGCATGTGACATCTTTGTTAAAATAGAGGAAATGTAAGTGATCTTTATCCAGATGACAATTCTGTAAAGCAGTGTATGCAATTACAATCACAGGACCTTGGAAATCATGGAAATTGTTTGTCTGTTAATAAATACATGTTTTTCTACAGATTGATTTTACTTTTATTTATGTGTTTGTATGAGCATATGCCATATTTGTGAGGGCATCCATGGGGGCCAGAGAGGGCATCGGATCTCCTAGAGCTGGAGTTAGCAGTCCTTGTGAGCAGCCTTATGGGTTCTGGGAACAGAGCTCTGGACCACTGGAAGAGCAGCAAATACTCTTACCTGCTGAGACATCCCTCCAGCCCCCATGTTAGCACATAGTATTTCTGACAAAAACTTAATCAAGTGTAAGAACTAAGCTGGTGAAATATGAATCTGGAATGAAGGAGATAAAAAAGAGTAGACAGTCTTCTGAAAATGGTGCTGGGAAGAAAGACTGTAACAGTAGAGGAATGAACGTTGAGTTCATTAAAAATTTTTACAAAGACAAAAAGAAGGTGATACACAGCAAGGCGAGTCTACACTAACGCTGGTATCCATCTGAGGTAAATCTAGATCGATTAATGCCTTAAAAATAGTTACTAGTTTTAGAATGTGAAAGTATCATGACCATTCTTTTCAAGTTTATGTAATAGAGGTAATATAGAAGGTTCTCCGTAGTTCTTGTTTAGGATAAGGATGAAGATCAAGACAGTTCTCTACGGTCAATAGTAACTGGGTGCATTCTTGCTATATTACAATACTGGATAGAGAAAGACTTTTATTTAAAAAATATGGGGAAATGTCACTGCTCTGACAGTACAACGGGGACCTGAAAGCATTCATACAAGCCTCACACACAAGATGGTGGTAAGATCCAGCAAAAACTGGCACATCAAGAACTCTGTTCGGTTGAACCATTTTGAAGTCATCTTTGAAGAGACAACCACTGCTATTACAAATAACACTGAGCCTAGGTAGCTGCCTTCCTGTGATCCATGTTCCATTTCTTTAAGACGGCATTGTTGCAAGGGTGGCCTGCTTAACCTGGACGTGCATTGAGGTAGAGATGGAGTCTACTTCCTGCTACTGGAATGTGTCCTGGTCTATTAGGGCTACTGTTTGACTAGAGTCTGGGTGGATTATAAACAACAGAAATGGGTTGCTAACATTCTTGAAGGCTGTGAAGTTCGTGCCTGTCTTTATTTCTTGTTAGTAAACAGCCATCTCTTCACATAAATGGTTCTTTTCTATCGGGGCACTAATCTCATTCAGTCAAGTTCCACTTTTAAGATCTAAGACTCTACCAAGGGCTCTATTGCTTACTAGCTTCATGTTAAGGTTTTAGATTTGAGCGCATGCATTTGACAGGGGTAATGGTGGTGATAGACATAACACCCCACTGATCTGCTGGTTCCTCCTTCCATTCATAAACATTGTTTACTCTCTGTTTCATCAGTTGTTGGTGGGAAGAAAAGACTCTCAGGCCCAAATAGTGGACATGAACATTGTATGGGAGGAGTTTGGGACCCTGAATTACCTTTCGTTCTTTTATTGAACTACTTTGTGAATAAATAAGTTATCTGTGATGGTAACCCACCCCAACTTTCTGGTTGTTTATTTAAAGAATTGGGTCAATAGGACATTTATTTTAAATATATCATCTTTCTTTGAAATATCAGATAATCTCTATTACTGGGAAAAAAGGATTAGGTGCTGAATTTTCTTAGAAATTATGGTTGACTCAAAATGGAATGGCATATGTGAAAAACGATCTGTTGAATCCCTGGAACGTGCACTGAATTTTTATTCTCTTCTCCAACACGGTTCAAGCTTTTCTCATAAACCTAATATTTAGATTTAGTAACTGACAAAGGCCCATAAAGCCTGTGCTTCAGACTGGGGAGTTGGAGGGTTTGACAAAGTGTGTTTTCAAGTTCTAAGTAAGTTAAAAAACAAATAAGAAGACTTTCTTATGCTATATGCTATTGATAAGTGTCAAAAATCAAATAACCAGATAATAAAAGTGAAGCTGGGAACCACGACCAGATCCCTGCATTTCCCTAGGAGCTCCCAGACCTTTTTCCTACCATCTCCAATTCCTCCACTGTCTTTGGTGCTATGCTCAGTTCTCTCTTTTAAGTCATGCAGGGACAGCTTTTCCTTGGTCCCTTGTCACACACTATCACTATAATTTCACTTCACTCTTTGTTGTTTAGTGGGTCCTTATCTGAGTGATGGTATTTTTCTATGTCAAGGATCTTTTCATAAGAAAAATTCTTTTTAGTTTTAATGTGTGTGTGCATGTGCGTGTGTGTGTGTGCACGTGTGTGTGTGTGTGTGTGTGTGTGTGTGTGTGTGTGTGTGTGTGTGTGCAGGAGCACATGAAAATTAGAAGAGGGCATGAGATTTCCTAGAGCTGGAGTGGGTTGTTGTGAACCACTTAATGTGGATGCTGGGAACTGGACTCTGGTCTTGTTCGTGAGGATCAAGTCTTCTTAATTGCTGACCTGAGCCATCTCCACAGCTCCCATATGAAGAGTCTCTAAGCTTCAGGCTTGAAGTATGTAGATTGTCTGAAATGCTCAGATTTCTTTTTACTTTAAACTTTCCCTCTTTTTTTAAACTATGGAGTTGTACAGGTTAACTGCTCTTGCAAAGACACCTTTGAAATAGGTAAAAGACAAGAAGACAACGGAAACAGAGATAAGAATCATATCCTATAAAGCAGTTTTAAATTCCTCAATTTAAAAAGAAGTCTGATTAAAAAAAATGACCATTGATTCTGACCTAGTTTGTGGGGATGGGCTTGAGAACTAGTCTCTTCAAACTTAAGACCATATGTATACAATACTCTATTTTTAATGCTTAGTTATTGCGTGTGTGTGTGTGTGTGTGTGTGTGTGTGTGTGTGTGTGTGTTGCATTCACATAAGTGTGCAGGTGTGAGCATCCATGCACAAGTACAAGCAGTCCAGAGCAGGATGTCAGATGGCTTCCTCTCTCAGGATCTGCCTGTCTCCACCACCCAGTGCTGGGACTGCATGAATGAACAGAAATGTCTAGCTTTTGACATGGGTTCTGGGATCCAAATTCAAGTCCTCATACTTGAAAAGCAAGTGGTGTTGTCCACCAGGCTACCTCCTTAGCTCAGAAGAATCTGTTTGTAGGTCCAACATTTTTTTTCCTCTACAAGAAAGTAATGAATTCTTAGTCATTAAATGTGGGAAAATGCAACAAACAAAATAAATGTATTGTACGAGTAATGAAGTATTAATTTATGCTTTGATGAGTTTTTACTCTTTGAACATATACATGCATAATTGCCAAATTGTCTTAACTGCACTTTTCAAATTTTAGTAGTATATACAGTCTGCTGAAAAATGAAAACAATACAGAAGTACATGTAATATGAGGAGATAGTTCTCTTATCTATGCACAGCTTACTGTGTTCAGGGTGTTCTCCTTTGAAATGTGACCTTGTAGATACTTCCTTTTGCACTGAGGTATTTAGGTGTACCTGTCCATGAACATAATTCAAATTTAACATATGTATAATATATACTATACATGTTAATGTATATCAACAAGTACATACACATATTTTGTTTTTTCACTTAACATTATATCAGGAGAACTTTTTATGTAATGAAAAAAATGAAACATGTATTTCATTATAAAGTTGTTTCTTAATACACTAAGTCATGGCAAACTGACATGACAATTTATTTAACAATTAAAATTTAATTGATACTGCTACCGGTCATCATTGTATCTTCATCTTTATCTCTTTAACCCAGGTTAACAAATCATAATACATAGATCAAAAGCCATAAACTATTTCAGAACTCTATCTAGATGTAAATATTTCCCTCTATTTTTATAAATATAAGTCCAGGATTTCCTGGACCATAGAGAAAGAATTTCCTTTTTGTTCTTTCTCGCAGGAGCTTATCACCCGGGGCAGTGAGAGCCAGAAATGTCACCGAGCAGTGGCTGCTCCCAGCTTCTGGTGCACACTCCAAACATCCGGGGAGTGCCATAACGCTTTGATGCTTGCTTCTCAGCCCACAGACACCGTGACTTAATCGAGATGGGTGCAATCTGAACACCAGCATTTTTAAAAGCTCCCCAGGTTGTTCTTATGTGCAGCAAAGTTTGGAAACTTCTGTCACAGTGCATTCAGTCATTGGAAGACTCCCAGACACACTTGCCCAAGAGGTCAAATGAAGGTCACTGGCAAGGGATGGATTTCTTTGCTTGTTATTTGGCAGAAAGGGGATTTCTTATGGTGGTGAAACATCCCTGATAGTGTTCAGTGCTATTAATCACCTTGACTCTCAAACAAAATAAATCCAACTAGAAAAATAGGATCAACCTAACCTAATACTCTAATACTCCCCAGCACTGGATTTGTTAAAGCGTCTTCCCCCAGCGACCGCTGGAGTGTTTGGAAAAAAGCCTTCGCTTTTTTGCAAATTGATTTTTGTCTTGGCTGCCGTGTTTGCTTGTTTAAGCATTAATGACTTGATTTGGAAAGAAATAGCTTCCTGTACGGCCTGGATTAGGAAGGGTCGTCTTTGCTCCCGCCAGAGATTGTGTACAAATGGCTGCTTGTAAACAGTCGAAACCTGCGACTTTTTTTTTTTTTTTAAACACCTCAACAGGCAAGGTGACACACATGGCTTAAGGGCTAAAAGCAACATGACAACTGTGAGGCAGAGTTACAGTCGCAAGTGCGAAATTTCCCTTGGGACCTCGGGGAAAAGCTTCCTGTTCTCTGCAGATTGGCCCGTTATCGGAATACATTTGCCCACAGTTAATCCTCCAAGTAATTAAACAAGAGGAAGCGATTAAATCACCGAGAAAAAAAAAAGTGAAGGCTGCATCGGAGGGACCCGGGCACAGGAAGATTTCCATTACGGTTGGACAGTGAGGCTTGAACTTGAGTTACAGAGCTTTTCTTAAGCCACCCCCTCACGTGCATGCGTGTGTGTGTGTGTGTGTGTGTGTGTGTGTGTGTGTGTGTGTAGCCAAACTGTGTTGAAATCTAAAATGAATATCTAGTTTCAACCTGAGAATG